ATGAAACTAATGAAAGTGCCTAATTCATTAGCCTGACGAAGGGTATTTGTGTCTGAAAGCTTGCAAAGAATTTTTCCAACTATTTGAATTGGTCTAATAAAAGGTATCAGATTTACCCAAAGAACCTTGTCTGCCTGTGTCCTTAGACCAACATGGCTACAACCTACAGCTCTGCCTAATAAGAGGGGACTTGTATGGTGGTTTTACACCCAATAGGTTAGGCTTGTCTAACGTACAGTTTGCAGGCCACCATGCAGCCTGCCAAGCTGTTTTCTGAAGCCCAAGGTGCTACGATGGGAAATGAAAGTTAACACTGTTTACTTTCATCCCCAGCCCTTCAGCAGCCATTAGGAAGCTGCTGAGTGGCTGGGGGCGAGACAAGGGGTGGGAAAGGGACAAGGTTCCCACACACACCGTGTCAACTTGACGTTGCTGACGCGGTGCAACTCCTCCCCTCCCCCCTCATTTCAAGGTGTCCCTTCCTAGCCCTGCCCCTCCCTTCCTCATTTGCATGCCAGCTTCTCCCCTCTCCCTCATTGCAGGGTTTCCCTTCCTAGCCCCACCTCTCCCTTCATTATTTGCATGCCAGCCCCGCCCCGCACCTGTACCGGCCGGCCACATGGGCTGGAGCAGATTGCAGTGCAGCAAGTGGGCGAGCATGGGGGCCAGAAATGTCAGCTCAGAGGGATGCTGCGGCTAGGCCCGTGGGAGATGATGGTGCTGCTGTGGCTGTGGCGGCGGGAAGCTGGCGCTGCTCCCACCTCCCCGCATCTGCCCGCACCTGCAGACATCATGCTGCCGGTGATGAGTCACGGGCCCTGGGGAGGGAGGGAGCACCACCAGTCCGGCTTGGGCTTGGGCTGACCCAGGGAAGAGGGAGCAGCGGGGTGTACCTGCACATCCTGCACCCCCCTGTAGGGTCCCCGTACGTCCCCCTGGCTGTTGCGCCCAGCCATGCAGATGTGGGAGCATCCTCAAGGCCACCCAGGTGGCAGGGAGGACATGATGGGGTCAGGCAGCACCCCTTGACCCCCGTGCCCCCCGCCCCCCCCCCCCCCCCCCGGTGTTAACCCCACAGGGGGGCC